AGCTGCTCTCTCACTCTCCTAGCAGGAGGATCAAGGAGAGAATTGGAAGAGTAAAAGCTGAAAAACTCATGGGTTCAGATGAAGATATTTTCATAGGGAATGCAAAAGCTCTGCACACAAGCAAAGCAAAGCAAAGCAAAGCAAAGCAAAGCAAAGCAAAGCAAAGCAAAGCAAAGTAAGGAATTCATGCAGTTCCCCCCATGAGCAGGCAGGTGTTCAACAATCCCTAGGAAAGCAGGGCCCCTTCACGCATAACAGTGACTTGGGAAGACAAATGGCATCTGTCCAAATGCCCCTCCCTTCCTCTTTCTACTCCCTACTTTATATACTGAACACGATGTCACACGGTGTGGAATATCCCTTGGTTCAGTTTGGGTCACCTGTCCTGGCTGTGTCTCCTCCCAGCCTCCTGAGCACTCCCACTCCCCGCGCCAGTGTGTCAGTACGAAGAGCAGAAAAGACCTCAGCTCTGTGTAAGACCTGCACAGCAATAACCAAAACATCTCTGTATTATGAGCCCTCTGTTCAGCACAAATCCAAAACACAGCCCCAGGCCAGACACTGTAAAGAAAATTAACTCTATCCCAGCCAAAACCAGCACAATTAATTATTTGTTTTATTCAGGTTTTATTATTAACAGCAGATAAGTATTGCCATGGTTCACTCAATTACTTCCTCACACACACTAATATGTATGCAGCTGTGGTAACAGCTGGAAGGCCAGCTCTTTACCAAGAAGGGAACTCATACTGATTTGCCAGTGTGTAATTGAACTTCTCAGCTGAACAAAGGAGAGAAAATGTGATAAAAAGCTCATGAGTCAAGATATGGACAGGGAAATATCACTCACTCATTACTATCATGGAAAAAACATACTACAAGCATATATTTAAAATATTACAAATCAAATCAGAGTAGAGTAATGAGAACTAAAAACTAATTCTTAAAACCACCTTGGCCTCAGCCCTGCCTTCATACCAGGCACAATTTCATTCCTGATGTTTTTTACCTTCTCCCCCCAGCTGCATGGGTGGATGGGAAATGGGGATTACAGTCAGCTAATCACAAGTTGTCTCTGTCACTTGTTCCTCCTCACTCTTCAGGCTCCAGTGAGGGGAACCTCCCATGGGAAATGATTCTCTATGAACCTCTCCAGTGTGAGCACTTCCCACAGGCTGGATTTCTCCATGAACTGCTCCAACGTGCATCCCTCCCACAGGGTGCAGTACTTTGGGAACAGGCTGCTACTGCCTGAGGCCCCCACAGGGTCACAAGCACTGCCAGAACAGTTGATGCTGAGTGGGCTTCACCCTGCATGGGTCCACAGGTCTTGCCAGAAGCCTGCTCCAGCACAGGCTTCCCACAGGGTAACAGCATCCTTTAGGCATCCCCCTGCTCTGGCACTGAGTCCTACACTGGTTGCAGGTGGATCTCTGTATCCCCATGGGCCTCCACGGGCTGCAGGGGCACAGCTGCTTCACCATGGGAATCTCTGCTCTGGTGCCTGGAGCACCTCCTCTCCCCCTTTTTTCACTGACTTTGGTATCTGCAGAGCTTTCTCTCAGACTTTTTCTCATTTCTCTCTCCTGGCAGCTTTTTCTCCCCCCCTGTATATATTATCCCAGGGACACTACTGCCATCGCTGATGGGCTCAGCCTTGGCCAGCAGCAGGTCTGTTTTGGAGCCAGCAGCTCTGACTCTTGGACACGGCAAAAACATCTGGCAGCTTCTCAGAGGGAGAAACCCTGTATCCCTGTTACCCAAAGCTTGCCACCAAAAACCAAAATACTATCCCTTCATAGTGGTAGTATAGTCACTCAAAGACTTGTTGTTTCAGATGTATTTATAAAATTCCTCAGGATTGCATGAGTGGCCTGAGTTATACAATCTGTTGCTGGTGCTAGTGTATTTGAGTGGCCCCAGATGGACACTTAGTGTCCTGACTTTAAAAGTTCTTGTAGATTCAGCAGAACCACTACACTCCAAAACTTCTCTGTTCTGATGATACATTCAAGCAACAGCTCCCAGAAAATGTTTTCACATTAACTGTCCTGCTATGTTCTGATAAGTGCTTCTGTGTCCATACCTGTAGCTTGCTAGTGGGTCTCATTCACAACCACTCATACAGAAACAGGCCTTTGTGGCATGTCTAAGTTCACATGCTTCTGAGAACACACTTGGCGTATATTATTAAAAAGATTTCACAGGTTTTTCCAAATTTTCCTGGCATTTTCAGCTTCTGACACTTAAAACCACTAAAAAGGATAAGTGCCAATAAGAAATCAGATCTGCAATATTAGGTTGCTTTTATTTCCTCCTCAACAGTTCTCAATGCCCAGTGATCTATATAACAACATCCACGTGTTATATCAAAACTGGGCAAAGTTTTGGTAATGATGAGTCCTAATTAGTTTGTTCTCAGAAGTAGTGATGTGTATAATTTTAAGGCCATCCTAATCTTACTACTACAAAAGAGTAGATACTACCTCTTTTAGTAAATATGCAAGGTGTTGGGGAAGCATTCCAGATCAGAAAATAACTGCACTGTGATAAAAGTGCTTGCTGTTTGCTGAAACTTGAACTGAAGGTCTCTATATTGGTCACTTGATGGTCTGATGAAGATGGAGATCGTAATTTTGAAAGATGATGATGCTTTTTACATTCTGAAATTCTACTCATGGAGACTGTGTGTGATGCAGTTTAATTCCTGATACTAGCTTCTTCATTTTCCATTCAGTATTCTCACATTGCACTGTATCTCTTCACAAAAACTGTCAAACAGCACAGCTGGAGTTAATAAACTGAGGAAGGATGCCCATTACCAGTTACAGACATCCCTGTTGTTTGATGCTTTCAGTATTTCATTATCTCTGCATCAGCACTGGTACTCCTGCAACTGAAAAGCCATCAAAATAACACAGCTTGAAATGATAAATGAAAGCAACAGAACAACTGCAGCACAGAGAATGCACTTCTGTGGTCTTTTCTAGGTGAAAAGATATTTGTATCTGTGCTGTGGCAGTCTTCTACTAGCAGAGCAAAGGTTTATCCAGATGTACTCTTTGGCTTAAAGCCACTGGACTCATTTCACATAGCAAATTTTCTACAACTGCTAGCATACCTAAGAAATTATATCTGATTGCTCTTCCTGAGAAATAGATTTTAGAAAGGTACAAGATTTATTTTTTTCTCTTTCATTAGGGAGAGAGAAGAAAATACAGTGAAATCCAGGAAAAATCCATATTGACCACAATAATTTTACTGCAAAGTTATTGTTAATTAATTGGAATAAGTCAAATTAATTGGTACATTCACTGCTGAACTGAGGTTAGGCATGTGACTCAAGAAGGTACTAAATTCTCAATGAAGAGTTAACATAATGGATCAGAATTCTCTGACCCAGTTTAACAATTAGCTGGAGGTGGCATCATGTGAAATTTAAACGTACACTCCAGAGCAGAGAGTTCTTTCATCTTTTTCACAAAATTTCACATGAATTCTTTCATCCCTAATAAACATGGCTAAATTTAAAATAGGAATGTATATTTCATTTTATTGTTATAAGCATTATCTGCTAAGTGCCTACAGCATATTTCCAGAAAGCATTTCTCTCACCATTTGTCAGATCTGCAATGCACTGGTATAGCTGTATATAATTAAACATGTAAAGCAGAAGACTGAAATTGGTAATTAGCCCTCAAGATTTTGTAGTAGTGTCTGGGAATTAAGCCACACAGTTCCCATTATATTCCGGAGAAACCATTCAACTAAAATTCTTTCACTACTTAGGAAAACAGGAGCCAGCTTCTAAAGCATTCTTACTCATGGGAGTGTAATTTGCAATTTCTGATTTCATATGATCAATATATTTCCATTATGTAGCTTTGTGTTTCAGTTTGTATGTTTTTCTATATAAATTCAAAGTTAGGTATTGTAATTTCATGTGTCCAGCCTTGAAGAGATGATTCATGACAGTCCTTTACTGATAAACAGAAAAACAAAAAAAACAAAGTTCACTTTAAAATAAATGCAAAATACAAAACAGGGAGACAGACAAATACCCCAGACCAAAGAGCCCACTGTTCTGATGTAAAAACCCCCTGTTCTCTTATTAATATTGGTAAATATTTTCTTTTTGGTGTATTTTGTTATATATCAATGCAGCTAGTAAGATGTTTTTTCAATGTTGTGGTTCAACACCAGCCAGCAGCTAAGCCCTAGACAGCTGCTTGCTCACTCCCCTGGTGGGAAGGGGGAGAGAATCAGAAAAGTGAGGAAACATGTGGGCTGAGATAAAGACAGTTTAAAATGGAAAGTAAAACAGTGAGTTTATTAACCATTTCCCATGGGCAAGGAGGTGTTCAGCCACATCTGGTAAAGCAGGGCTCCATCACACTTAACAGTGACTTGGGAGACGAACCATCACTCCAAACATCTCCACTTCCTCCTTCTCCCCCCAGCTGCATATGCTGAGCATGATGCCACAGGGTATGGAATATCCCTTGGGTCAACTGGGGTCAACTGTGCTGGCTGTGTCCCCTCCCAACTCACTGTGCACTGTGCTCTGGAGGGGTATGGTGAGAAGAAAAGGCCTTGACTGTGTGTCAATGCTGCTCAGCACCTGTTCAAATACCACTCTTATCAAAATAACACAAATCCAAAACGTAGTCATAACAACATAACATAACATGCTAACATGAGGAGAATGAGCTGCGGATCAGTCAAAATCTGCTCATCTAGTTTTAGCACCCATTCATACAAAGATAGAGAATTTCAGAAATTCTTAGAGCTTCATAAAGATTCAACTTGTTTTGACATTTGTTGAGCAACGTCATACATTTCCATTGCAGAGAATGAAATGATAACTTAAAAGTATGGGAATGAGAAAAGAATATTTCTTCTCACAATTTTGCATTTGGACACATACAGTATATGCATTCAGGGTCTAAGTAAAAAATCCTCCTATAACTGTTTTTTTTTAATTTTTCTTTCCCTAACAGATTCGTATGTATATGATATACCTGGCACATAATAACTCAGGATGTTGTTAAGCCAAAGTATACAGATCTGGTCGTGTTTCACCTGAATTTAGCTGTTTTTTTTAAAATTGTGTTTTATTTCAAATCCTGGAAAAGAAATAGATATTCACTGGTTTGACACTCAAATACTGATATGAACTTGGAAAAACACTTGGGATTAATGCAACTAAGAATCAACTCTTGTCTTCCTGATCAAATATGTGTGAACAAATTAGTTATATTGTTCCAGATACTTCTATTCATAATTTTTCTGCTCAGATGTTGAATGCACGTTTGAAAATCTTGGTCTTCAATAAAGGTTTGATTAAAATTTCAGTGTTACCAGCTGCATGTTTTTTGTGAAGAAAGAAAGAAAGAAAAAAAAGAGAGAAAGAGAGAGAGAGAGAGAGATAAAGAAAGAAAGAAAGAAAGAAAGAAAGAAAGAAAGAAAGAAAGAAAGAAAGAAAGAAAGAAAGAAAGAAAGAAAGAAAGAAAGAAAGAAAGAAAGAAGAAAGAAAGAAAGAAAGAAAGAAAGAAAGAAAGAAAGAAAGAAAGAAAGAAAGAAAGAAAGAAAGAAAGAAAGAAAGAAAGAAAGAAAGAAAGAAAGAGAAAGGATTCTTTCAGCCCATAGTCAGAATTACAGAAACAGAAAAAAAACTATGCCCTTATTCACACTGACAAGTATTTCTTTCCCACTGTCAAATAGCTGGTTCCTCAGGTTTCCCTATTGGAAAGTCGGTGAACTGATTCATGTGAGACTGACTGCAAGCTTCACACAGACATCTTTTTTTTTTTCCTCTTTTCTAAAGTTATTTTGAGGTAATTATTTTCTTGTACCTGAACTGATTGCTGAAATACTTTTTCTTTCCCTGCTCTACCCCCAGTCATTTTTTTTGTTAATCCCCTGCAGGTATTTAGAATTAGCTTTCATGTTGTGCCTTAGTCCTACTTTCCCCAGGCTTTGCAAATTCCCTTTTCTTAATAAACATTTTTTATCATTTTTGTTATCCTTTTTTGGAGTCTTTCCAATTCAGCAAAATCGTTTCTTGTATTATGGAGCCCAAAACAGTGTAAAGCACTCAAATACAGTTTCACCAATTCTGCACTGAGATAAAAAATTAATTACCTGCCCCCCTTCTCCTGACCTAATTCCTCTCATTATACTGTACATGCTCAATATGGTATTTGCCATTCTGCAGCATGTCACTCTGTATTCTTCTGCAGAGTTTATGGCTTGCTCTGAGCCTGTTTTTTTCCTGTAGCCATGGAAATTTCTAAATTAGTCTTTCTCCGTGTTACACATTAGAGTCTTTCACACCTCACATTTAGCACGATAAAAGGTCAATTTTGCAGTATTTAGACCCTGATCACAGTAGGGCATATTGGGGTCTTTGCTATATTCTAGGGCTGCAATAAACATAAGAAACAGTGTAGTTGGATGCAGCAAATTCTTCCAAACCTATCATTATGCTGAAAATGCAAATCTCTCTTTTCTGCTAGAACACATTGCCAAGGCTATTTTGAGAAATTACCTGTGTTTTCCTAGGAAGTGGGGCTATAACTTATTTCTTTTAATTATTATTTCAATATCTACACTGGCCTACTTAACTATATATATTATGCCATCAATTCACACTCTGTTTTCCTGCATTCTGGTAGTTATTCTTACTTCTTCACATCCATATTTATTTTATTTTATCTTAATTGAAACGAGGAAAGTTTTTGCAGAAATTCCCTTTTAATCACAAGGATTGCCTCACCTTGGTCAAGAAAACAGAATGACTGGCACTGTACTCAGGGAATACAACTGCCTTTCTTTCTTTACTGGTTAGGCAGACAGACCTTAAGCATCAGTGTAAATGCTTTCTATTCCCATGCTGTTACTCATTCCGCCCCCAGGACCTTAACCAACATGCAAAGATCTTTTCATAGCATTGTGCAGCAGACAAAAGCCTTTGTTTGCACAGTTAAAGGAAAAATCAAATGCTTGGCTTAATAGCATTTGTGAACCTGACCCAATGACTTGACTCAAGTAAAGGATCCGATACAGGGAAACATTATTAAAATATTTCTACATAGGTCTTCCCATCACTGTTTTACTATCTCTAGTTAACACATTCTATTCACATGTGTTAGCAGTATAAAAGTGTCTAAGTAGGTACATAGATTTAACTTGGGAGAGGAAAATAAAGCCAAAGAGTGTCACAGTCATTCCTACAGCACAGAACTTGCTGCCTAAAAAGCAGTTTGTTGTACAACTTCATAGTGTACAATGCAAACTGCAAAGAGTGCCTGATGAATAGCATTGTACCAGAAATGGTGGGATGTTTAACCTTTAAAAGGTGCGCAGCTACAACATTCCACTAGACCTGACAGATACCCAGTGACAAGCACTGCAGACAGGTACTTGCTAACCCAGGAGACATCAGAGCCTACCAGTTTTATTAGTTCAGTTTTATATTGATGCTGTTGCTCTTGGCCTTACAGTCACATCACAAGTAACACAAAAGGTTCGTGAATAGACTCAGCTCCAAGTTATCTCGGCTTTATTGCTCTTTAGTCAACAGAAAGAGAGAAGCGTCTCCCAAGGGGCAACTCATTTTTTCATACACTCTTACATTATTGTTGATGAAATATTTCTGAGAAGCAATTTTCTCTGATGATTCAAGGGGAAGAGTAGATAGGCTAATTTGAACCAGTTGACTAACTTTTAGAGAGTGAAAGGGAAGTGCAATGAGTGACACCAAGAGTCACTCTGGGGAGCAGTGTGAACTGTTTCTGTGGGACTGGAATTTTGCTGTCTTACATCTGCTTAAGCCATGCAAAATATTGCATGAGTTACCCTCGGCTGGGTGTTGACAGAGCTGTGTTAATGATGCTACCACTAGCAATTACAGAAGTGAATCTGAGCAGAAGATGACCCTGACAGAACTGCTGCTGGGTACTGATTAGTCAGCAGACACCTAGGGCAATTCAAGCTTATGGCTGAAGATCATATATTCACTATATTCAAGTGCCAGCTTCTCTGGCACCAGCTAAGAAGTCTGTCACTGATGAAGCCAGGGACACTAAAACTCATCTGCAGTCTTCTGATCAGCAGAGTGCTCTTATTCACATCAGTTTTCTCCTGATGTGGTATTTTGTCACTTTGAAAGCTTAGCACCAATGGACAGTGATATTACTTCTTGCCTGTAATGAAGCACTAAGTCAGGGTGATGCTGCTGTGAGTGCCTTCTCAATACAGAATGGAATATTTGCATAGATTAGCCTGCTAGCTGATGGTCCTTGACTACTTTAATTTCAAACATGCTACTTTCCATTGAAATGCCATACAGGTTTGTTTGTTTGTTTGTTTATTTATTGCTTTGCATCATTAGAACATGCAGAAATTCTTTGAACAGACCCCTGAGGCAATTTATTTCTTTACAGATGAAAAATTCTGTCCTTTTTTGTTAGGAGGCAAGTATATGTTGAACCATATAGAGGTATCTGAAAGCAAAGAACAAACACTACTTTTTGGCATTGCTGTTGACTGACCTTGTGATACTGTTACTAGTTTTAGGTTTTGAGCTCATCTCTGATAAAGTTCTCTGATAAAGATACCTCCAAGATAACAAGTAAAATCTGTTCTTCATAAGACATCTGGTAAAATGATGAATGGCTGGATACATTCAGACTTCAGGCTGATCCTTTGACTGCTACTATTCAGTAAAATAAACTGAAATAAGAAAGAGTTTAGCATTCAACCCTTAAAATCCCAAAGGTTTTCTAAGTGAAACAGAGGCATAGAGCTTCAATCTCCAAAAATTATTTGGAATTTCATTGATGAAGTTAAACTACCTCCCAGCTTCTACTTTGTGTATATCTTTCTGAATATAGAGATTATAGACACGACTATTTAAATATATTGGAATAATAGTACACATATGTAAATGAATACATGAAATGAACTTAATGAGCTAGAATCACTACTAATCACTGTTTAACCTCTTCACTGTGAGTAGTTATACCAATACCAGTAAGTTTTTCAAACTCTTTGGGAAATTTGCAGTTACCCCACTCGAATCTTTCATCCCAGATGGAAGATACTTTACCCAATTCTCTTAGCCAACAAAGGATCAGAGAATCAAAAAATCTAAAATCAGGAAAGATATAATGTGTCATTAGTCCAAATTTCTGCCAGCACAGAATACATCTCCATATTACACTTACAATCCCATTAAAATATTTCATTATTTTATTGATTTGATAGGTAATTTTCAATAAGCCTTCTTCTTCTGTTTTATATGACCCTTTTGACATTGATCCCTGTGGTAGTTTTTGCTAAAAACACAAAACTCCCTCAAATATTCATAGACATGCCATTATAACCCCTTGTAACCTTTATTTGGTGAAGATGATGTGTGTTTAACTATTTTAATGATTTTTTTTTTTTTTTTCCTCCAGGGCTTAGTACTTGAAGTTCTCCAATCAATGACTATATTATAAATTTCTTCTTCCTTTAAACAGGTCAAGAAATTTAGTCAGAAACTACCTGGAGTGAAAGTGCCATTTCACATCTTTACCTGCTGGAATCTGGTATTGCAGAGAATAGAATCTGTTTCCCCCAGGGTGACAGAAATAAATAATGTTATGTACAGCATCTGGATGACGATATTTAAAGTTATGTTCCTCAAAAATAAAGATACTTCACCTTATGTAATTTATTGACTTCTATTTTTGTTACCTTATGCTGGTATGTTTATGAAGATGTCCAACGAGATTTGAACAGCGCTGGGATAGGTAGATCATTAGTAACACTACTGTGACAAGTAAAATAAATCTAATCAGAGATTCATCATAATGAAGGATAATGTCACTATTTATTTTTTTCAAGCTCTTATTCTATGGATTGCTATATATACTAGGTTTCTTGTGTTTTCTTGAAAAATATTTCAAATTCACCCTCGATTTAATAGGTTAGATCTTTACTGAAGTCAGAGGAATTAAACAGTGCCTATCATGTTCACTGCATTAACCCAACCTTCTGTAGTAAATTGTTGAATTTTCTTTGATAGCAAGTTAATTTAACATGATTTCTTGCTTATGAACTCTTGCTGCCTGCAATTTTCCTCAAGGTGCTAAAGGATTTATTAAAGTTGTTCTCTGATCTCATATATAGTACTTTCTTAAGAGATTTATAAAAACAAGTTTTATGAATTATCCATTCTACTTCCTGAATTCTCAAAGATGACATTTGATAGTTCTATTTCTGATGTTAAGTATTTATACAATTTGGCCATGTTGATTGCTTCATGTATATAACATTTAAAAGATGTATTCTCTGTGATGA